GAGTAAATAAGTTTGAACCGCTGAAAATAAGGTCACTTTCGAAAAAAAGAAATAATTAAGGTCACTTCAGGAGCAGGCGAAATACGCGTACTACATCTTTATTTCAATCACAAGAAAGCAACATGATTAAAACTGGCATATTAGAGACGCGGGGTGATTAGCATTAAGGTAAAAAAAAACAATCCTCCGTAAGAAAGTGCATTAACGTTTTTGAAACAGGATTCTAAAACTAATGAAAGACGTGTCAGCAGTATTGATTGTCGGGTTAGCATTAAAAGCCGAAAGATGTTAATGCAGCAGTATATATAGTACAACTCCTATTACTGAAACCTCAACAAAGGCTTAGAGTGACATACAGCAGCAGTCCTAACACAGATGTAAGAGACCGTGTCTACGATGGTCAGCTCATAGCCGACCTGTTTATACCAGACCCTGATCGCAATGTTGTCTGTGCATTTGCAATGCTCATAGGAGACTATGACAATTTCAACGATGTAACGAGGTCACATGACGGTCATAGTATTTACGGTGTATTTACAACGCGGATTGGCAATCTATATGTAGCTGTTAATGTGCCAGTATATATCAAACTCCCCATTACTTATATATTATCCATATGTGACCATGTGTAAATAAGCAAAGGCTTATCGTGACACACGGCATCAGTCCCAGCCAAATGTACATGCATAAGATACCGTGTCGACGATGGTAAGCTGATAGGTGACTCGATCATACCAGACCATTACCATAAACTTTTCTGTGCATTGCTAATTTCCATAGTAGACCATGGCAACTTTAACGGTATATCAAGGTCATGACAAAGCGTAAACTACGGTCAGTGTAGTTATGGCGTGTTTACAATGCTCGTTATTGCTATTAGGAAAAGGCAAAGCCTTAAAAGAGCGTGGCTTTTGTTGATTTCTGATATTTACTGATTCAGAATACTGCTTTCAGAATGAGATGATTTAAACCTTTTTTAAAGGTCGGCTAGTCGAGGAATAACAATAAAACACAAACTCTAACGAGATTAAGACCGACATAACAATAGGAGAGTCCGGGGCAAGTTCGACCCTTTTTTGACCGTCATGATTTTCCCTCTACCCCTCAAAAGTAATTTTCTCCTGTTTAGTAATTTAACATTAGAGTTTTCCTTACCATATTTTCGTAGAATGCTTAAAGTTGTAAATATTAGCTAAAAAACAAAAATATCAGGGATGGCAAAACTTGTCCCGGTCTCCCGTATGTAGATTTTTTGTATCATTGATGATTGATAAAAATGTATTCACAATACAATATTTGCATCAAGGACGCAATTTTCTTCCAGTCAAAGCTTAAGTAGATATTTGTTCTTGTGCGTAACGTATATGATGGGTCGGATGGCGCAGTGGATAGTGCGCTCGTCCTCACCGAGATGGCCGGATTCAGTTCCGGTCACGCGGGTTTTCTCCGGATACTCCAACTTCCTCTCATATTAAGAATTAAATCCTCTGCGTGCTTCTGTCAGGGCACATACAGAATGATTGAGATTACCTGAGGAAAAACCGTTTTGCTATAGAAAAAAGTGCATGTTACATATTTGACGACTAGTCTAAGAAAATGTAAAGGGATGTAAGTTGCAAAAAGAAAAATTGAAAAAAACCCAACCCTTGTAATACTTTAATTGTCGTTATATCGATATGTAGTCTCAATTACTGTTCCATCCCAAAGCACCGGATTGAATTTCAAATTTTGTAACTGTCACCGAGGTTTGACAGGTAATGATGCCAAATGAAATTAAACAGTTTCTGTCTGTCACCGGTTAGATATCGGCACGCGTTGTAAAAAAAGTAATATGTTGCTGAAAAAGGGCGTTGCACTTGGGTTGGTTGCCTGCAAAATTATTGTTGATTTCGACATAAATGCATTTTCCATCGTTTCTTTTATGATGCACAAAAAATAATGTAAAGACTAAAATGACTTCTGAGATCGAAGAATGGTACCTCCTATTCACTGCTTTCAAAGCTGCAGATGTTCGGTTCGAATGTATATGGTAGAATATAAGTGTTTGTCTTTGTACATACACGAATATATTTATATTTGCATGGCATTGTCGCTATATAGCCTCCTTGAAAGCTGTGTCATTGATGGGACTTTAATTACCATGCATCACGAGACACAATTCTTAGCGTATTAATACAACACTGACCGAAACTACAATATCCAATCTAAATAAACATGACGGCTGCTAAAATATCGCTAGGCATTGTGAGATTTGACAATGTCATTGTAAATTTATGTGCAAAATAAAAAAATAAATAAAAAGCAATTTTATTACAACGAAAACAAGACCAAAGTCTGCAATATCGTACAAAATGCACATCGGTTGAAATCACCAATGCCGGCAATGGAAACAATTTTAACGCTCATGCAATTTATCAGAAATATCGTATGTTACAATGCACTGATCAACAGGGGCTCGTTACAAATGTCTGAAATACACATATTATATAGACCTACTGACACATATGTTACAGACCTACTGATATGAGTTACAGCACACGAACATGTGCTCCGTCGCAAGATCTTTCACTTCAAACGCTTCAGTTTCACGCGTCTTGTATCCACGGTTCTGCAGTTTCTGACGACATGTCAAATAACGAGCTGTTATAGAATCTACCGACTGTTGTCAGGTTCCCATACAATCAACAAATACATTCACGCCTGGATTCTTCACAAAATGAGCAAAGAGAAAAGTTCGAATTAACTTCCATAATTAACTCCCTCGTGGAGGGCAAGGTCGGATTTACGGTGTTCACTGTATTTGTCCATGCGCGATTTTTTTCCGGGAAAATATCGAAACAATTGCAAATCTGACTTTTAGCTCAGAGTTCTATTGATAAACTTAAATCACCCTATAGACATATCATATGTAATTGTACTGATACTGAATTGTGGAATAAAATTGAAGTGTTTGTTAAAATTTCAAAGTACTGCTTTGTTTGCCAATCAGCACGCGACAATACGCTGTTCAAGCTATTGAACGAAATATTGTGTGGACTGTCGATAAGGCGGGCATTTTTATTTTTAAATATAAATTATAAGTTAAAAAAGAACATAAGAGGCGGAGAAAACGTAAATATAAGTATTGAACTGTTTTTGTATGGTATTTATGATCTATTTGAATGAAACATAGCGCGCATTATGTTGTTTGCTTGCAAAGCTGTGTCATTCAAATAGATCATAAATACACAATTGATAACAAGTCTGTTAGCAAATGCTAGAAAATAGTAAATGAAAATGACAAAATGACTTCGAGCATCGTATTCAAACTAGCGCGTTGCCTTGCCATTAAGCGTGACGCAAGTGGAGTGTAGCGCCAAAGATGACACTATTAATTCCCAATTGTATTTTCTTGCAGAATTATGGCGCGTTGCTTGTACTTTAATAAAAGGTATTTGTAATTAGCAGATATCAATTTAATATTAATTTTCCTTTTTTCCCCGTTAAATACCAAAACATTTTACTCGTATGGCAAAATATACTGATATGTTTTTACTTTTGCTTTGCTCTTGTGTAAAATATCGATATTCTGATACACTCGTGCGATAGCTTTGATATTTAATGGGGAACCATTAAATACTCTCTAAATACTTAACATTGCAGTACCAGCGGAGTTATATAAATGATGATGTAAGAGCACGACCTTTGGATGCAAGATACGTAATATATTACCACTAGTCATAGATACGGTTTACAGGTTTAGGGTCGTACGAAAATGCAATTAACCAGATAATACTGCAGTGTAAGTTTCAGATAAGACTAATGCAGGTTCCCGATGGAATCGTAATTCGTCTGTACTCTCTGTTAAGAAATATTGACGGGACATGTATATTCATCTTCTTCCCCAATTGCACCATTTGTGGTACTTATCCTTTTCCTTCATGTACAGAGATTTTCTACTCTTGTTTTATTGGAGACACACCACCAAAATCCATAAAAAATGTAGTTGTGCCCTCTACTTGGGAACATACAGGCGACTAAAATAAGTCTGCGTGCAATCACAATAGTTGGGATCTACATATTTCTCTCCTCTTCCAACTACCCTTTATTTCCTAGCGCCTTGCGTTGCAAGACCTGCCGTTTGAACGTTCGCCCATTGCGGAAGGCAATCGGTTATGTTCCCCGGTCGGGACAAACCAAAGGCCTTAAAATGGTAGTTGTAACTCCCTGCTCAACGTTCAGCATTTAGGGGAATGGCGACAACTAGTTCACCCATTGTCAGGATAATGGGACAAGACAGACTGCTGTGCTGAGTGCCTTAGCCATGGTTTTTCAAAGAGGTAGCACCATTATGTCGGCATCAGATCCGCGCTATCACAAGGAAACAAATAAAGCAACATTCTGTCTCCAGCAAATATGCACACGTACACTACACACGTGGAGGCCTGTCCTTAAATGAACTCAGTTATTGATAGGACGTTAAACCACTGTTTACGTTATGCTTCCGTTTGGCTTGGACTGAATGATTGGGTTGTTGAACCGTTAAGTATATATACCACAGTTGATTGAGTACAGTTTATCTATACAACATATCGAACATTTACACTACAGAATACATATTACTTGTTATCGTTTGTCTGTCTATATAACAACAAGTAACATACATATTCTAATTTTATTATAACTAGAAATGAAATACCAGAAGAACTCATGCTCGGAGATTCAGACATGCGAGTTATCTTTGGTATTGTGAATTATGTAAATATAACATATTATTTAGAAATGTTCAACAGCCAATCTGTTCTTTTGTCATCACTTACATGAATGATATCGATGTGGTAAGCAGGGAGTGGTCGCTGCCTAGAGTATGTTCAGTTTCCTGACCGATACGGCTATCATTTACGAAATCTGCTTTTTTTCTGTGAATATGATGCGTCATACCTAGCGTAGAAAGGAAACGTTATGGTTTACAATCAATAAGTAATTATGCATTCATACCTTATTTATTTGTCACGTTTTAGACTGCCCTTAGTCACGCATGCGTATTAGGACTGACCCCGGTTGTGGAGCTGTTATCGGAGACCCCCGGTGTGGATTCCAACCTTGCAGACAAAGACGGAACAACGCCCCTCATATTTGCTGCTCAAGCAGGTAAGTACATCCTTATAAAAAACAAACATTGCATGATTTACGGTTTCTTTGTGTTTTACGTCCTATTAACAGCTATAGTCATTTAAAGGACGTGTCAGATTTTGGTGGTGGAAGATAGCCGAAGTTCAAGGAGAAAAACCACCGACCTACGGTCAGTACCTGATGACTGCCCAGCGTAGGCCGCGACCCAGTGGTGGAGGGCTAGTGGAAGCAGGATGTCAGCCGCCTTAACCACTTGCCACCGCGGCCCCTAAACATCGAATGATATGTTACACAATAGGATATAAAAAAAAATAATGTAAAGATTTTATTTTCGTTCAAAGGTTAATTTACATTTCATCATCAGAATTAACCGTTACATTTACATATATAGTAACCAGAAATTTCACAGCATACTAACAACACTATAATTGGGTAATGCCTCAATAACGTACAGTATCGACGCATATCATAGTATTAAATAAACTTTTCCAAAGAGCTTTAATTTTAGTATGATCAAATTTAATTCCATTGTTTTGATTTATTGTTTTGCAATTTTTGTACCGCTCTCTTCGCTATCGACGTATCTAAACATACTTTCCTCCTTCTTCTTTACCTGAATGTTATAAAAAAAAACCTAGCAAGGGGACTAGGGAAATGGGTTACAAACGCTTAGGTGGAAAAACGTATCTCTCTTTTTAATTTATCTTTGCATTCCAATTTGATGTTTTCTGTGACATCAATATTCTGGTCTGTTAAAAAAAAAAAGTTTATTGTTTAGACAGTCTTCTTAGTCACCGGTGTCTGCCGTAACCTGAAGGCCATAGCTATCTCATTGAAGCACGGTTCTTAATACAAACACTTAACTCGCTCACTACTATTAAATTTGAAATTTACCAGCCCTCTTGTTTTTGAAATACATATAATTAAGGGGTGTTATACACCTCCCCATCAATTTGGTTTTTAAACTGTCCGGCTTCTAGCATCACCAATGAGTCATTGACAGAACAGCTGTATGGTACAGTGCTTTTAATTTTTTTGGCAATCTGTATCTACCACCGAAAGGTAAAGGTTCAGTCCAAACACACATAACAAACACAACAAATCAAATAACTCATCTCAGAGCGCGTTCGATTACGTCACATAAACATAGTCGAATTAACAATTTGATATTCTATCAAGCCTATCGCTTTAAGTGCTGTGACACAGTGCATTAACATACAACAGAAAATAAACTATAGCGTCAACACCCGGAGAACAAAACTGAAAAACAAAAGTGATAGGAAATATCAACAGCAGGAGCGGATGAATCACTATATCAAATAGAAAGACAGAATTATGTGGATTGAGATTTAGAATTAGAAGCGGTGGAAAACGGATTTTACCATTTAAACTAGGGGCTCATTAAGTTGACTAAGCTTTCGATGAAATGGACAAGCCATCATTTGTGTTCCCGTGTTACCTGGTCTGGCTCCCTGTTACGTTTTAATTGAATTAGGTTGATTACTGCTAATTTCCAACAACGCTAATTACTGTCCTAACACAATTGCACTCGTGCAATACGCAGGTGTCGCGCATGACATGTAATCTAAGGTAAAGGAAGAATAATCCAAGTTTTGAAGAGTTAGAATGTCCGGGTGGTGCACGTGACACATAATCTAAGGTCAACGGCGAATATGCAATGTTGTTTAAGCAGTTATATTAGAGCAAGAGAAATTCAGGGTACCAGTTAATGCGACAGTCAATATTCGAAGATTATTGGCTCTGTAAATGTTATTGTACAAATTTACAGCTTGTTGGCATGACCCTCGCCTGTTCTGGTGTCCCTGTACGCGTCACATCATTGCTGCATTGCATCATATATTGCCAATTAACTACAAATTCACGTTGGAGCATTGTACATAGGGACTGAAATTAATGGAAAATATATTGCAAGCGCATCAAATCGGTGGGTGACAATTACCGTATCATTGATGTCATTGTTTGTTATGAGATTTAACTTTATCGTAAAAATACAACTACAATGGTATCACGTCAACAGCACGCAATAAATCATATACCAGTGTCAACATTCAACGGCAAACTCTACCTTGTGTTTTCTTGCTGTGTTATGTTACTAAGTGCCAGTTCCCTTATCATGAATGTCAGTATTTGTTTTGAGTTAAAAGGTTCGTACGACAAACCTACAATGGTGTCATGTCAACAGCAATCAAAATATGTTGTAGGGTGAACATTCAAGGGCAAACTTGACCTTGTGTTTTCTTGCTGTGTTTAGTTAGTAGGTTTCAATTCCCTTATCATTAATGCCATTATTTGTTTTGAGTTTAAACTTTTGTGTTTTCTTGCTGTGGTGGGTTGGTAGGTGGAAACCATTGGTGCCATCACTGTAAGCGTACGTATTTCAGATGTATTATAATTTCGTTTCACTATAAATTCGATTACGATAAAATAGGTACGCTAACAGCATTTTACTTTGAGCTTAACATTGTCGTAAACAATACAACTACAAGTGGACCATGTCAGTAGTAGGCAAACAATGCTTCACTGGGTCAGCATTCAAGGCCAAGGTCATCCTTGTAACACTCGCTAGTGTGCAGTTATATTGTATGCTGTTGCCCACAGGATATGTTTGAGATGGCATCTGTGTTATCGTTGTTTGCCTAGAACGGCATTTCATCACTGGTAATCATGTATTTGATTACTGCTTTATATAGTGGTTAGCTGCATGCAATGTTTACCGTGTAACTGGCAGCACCAAGAAACGCACATTCTAATGCTATAACTCCAGAGAGCAATACATTATTGATTTCATCTACGATTCTGACATCTGAATTGGAATTAAACACATTAACGGGGAACTAAATTGTATACCGAATTCGGAATCGTCTGGCAACGTCAGAACATAAAATAACGGTAAACAATATTTGCGTTCTTGTCTTGACATTAAGGAGACTTGTTTGATTTAATGAGAAAATGAAGTTCAAGAAACTGTCAACAGTCTGTATGACGATCAGAACATACTGATATCGTTAATGTACGGAGTATATACATGCGGCTCTTATCCTGGTCTGGCAACGTAGATAGATCAGGGCCAGGGAATACAGCGTTAGGACACAAGCAGGTCACGGTGTAGTTGTACAAATTCAACATAGTGCGCATGCGTATGATCGCTTTTGATCATCAAGATAAAAACGCGATATGTATCAACAAACACTGATTTTACTTAAAAAACGATGAAAGAGGGACAGAATATATGCAAAGAATATATTTTCACGGAGACTTTTGAAAAGGTTCAAGAAGAAGAATACATGTGAGAAAGAACTCAAGAAAGGGTAAATATCTTGTGCTTCATCGACTGCTCCTGCCAAGAACGTCTAGGTGAAACCCGGGAAATGTCACGTACTTTTAATACTCAGATTGAAAACCGTATAGTGACAAGCAAACAACAACAACAAGTAATGAGCGTAATATAGAAAGTCGACACTCCTATAGAGCGAGGAAACCAAATATAATAACCATAAGAGGTTACGATGGTGACCATAAAACATACATAGTCCTTATCAGCCCCTCGAATATTTGTCAGTCAGCATTCTACATCTATCACGGAAACCGTGGTATTTGGACCAAACCCGTTAATATCGAATCGACTGGGACATGTTAACACCCTAGAAAGGACACAGAATCGTCACGCTTAGCATACATCTAAGTGAAAATCCGTTCCGGTTTGTTATGTTGTAAGCAAAGACCTGCCTTGTTTTGCAGTTGGAAGTCGTTAGATCTATCAGGTCGACAGTTCCCTTCCCGCTTAGTACCACCATTCCCATTCTTTTGGAGAACGAGAGCTGAATAGTTTACCTACTAAACTGAGACACGAATGTAGTTCCCTTAAAAATGACCACTATAAATTAAATTTTGTCAAATGTCAAGTTTGCAGTTATGGACATTTGTGTAGAAGTGCCTTTCACATCATATTTGGGTTTCAATATTTTACCAATGAAAGCCACCCCCCCCCCTCCCCCATATTACTTACGGCAAGTATAAGTACTGTTAGACATAAGGTTAGACTCAAATAACGGTATTGTTTTTATCACAGATACCTCAAAAGGCAAAAATAAATACCAAAATATCAGCTATATCGGGGTTACAAATTGGCACCTTCTGTTTCAATATTAGTTTAGACGATTTGGAGTTCCAGCGTTGAGGTCCCTATCATCACGAACGGGTCCTAGAAAAACGAAACAGCTGTATGACGCAGTGTAGCTCATGTTTGGCTTACTGTATCTATAACCAAATCTCTTGCCCGTTCCGAATCAGTTATATCAGGGATAACATTAAAGAGTTGTCACTTTATGTACGGAAAACTACAGCAGAATTTTAAAATAATTACATTAAGTGTTTCAGGCCTCTTTAGGTGGTCAAATTGGCAGTATTCGCAGTTAAGTTACTGCATTTCTGAAGTTAAGAACCGTTTATGAAACTGGTGCCTGAACGAATAAAAGGACGTTAAGAAATGTCATTTCAACCACAGAACAAGAAAACTCATTTTGTATTAGTGTATTCTAAATTAGTTTGTCGATTGCGAAGACAACGCCAAACTTCAAAACACTGAGGAAGACAGAAACACTGAGGAAGACAAACGTGTAACAGACACACACACTACAAAACTCTCAGCTAGACACATTTAAGTTCAGCACACAAACTACAAAAACCTGTCTGTGTACATTTTAAACATGTTTAGGCTATAAACATCTCAGAAAGGAATATAAACGGACGCAGCAAATGCTAGAATCATTAAACAAACACAGTTTCCAAGCAGAACTGGCTGAAATATGAAACCGGTTAATCACTTTGACGTTTGAATGCTTACGCGTAAGCAAAGTAGTCCGTTCTGTTAAAGAAGAAAACGAATTTCACTGTGTATATTATATTTGATCTACAACATCATAAATATGACAACATTAAAACGATACATATTATTTGCGTTAGTTGCGCAGAAATACGTCCCTGTCTCTGATGCGAGA